GGGGTCGGGCCTGGGCGCAGGCCCCGTCCTTGCCCCCGGGGCTCCCCGCGCCTAGGTGCTCGGACGAACGCAGGCCTCGCGTGTCGCCCCTCGCCTGGGGTCTCTTCCTCCCTCCCTTACCGCCAGGGTCTTTGGCGGCGGCGCTCCCGTCCTGCCCTCGGGATCGCGGGCTCTTCCTCGCAGTCGTTAAACCGGGAGGGCAGCGGGCGGGTTGAGGTTTATAAGATACCGGTCGCAAACCTGCCCGTAACGCTCCCCTTTGCTTTCCTGCTGGTGGCCCACCCCTGCTCTGACTCTCAGAGGGATCGCCCGAGTTAAAGCTGGCGTGTCGGTAGCCATCGATGTAATGAGCAATATGGTCTCGTATTGTTAGAAATGCTGGCGCTGTTTCAACAAGTTCTTCCTCTTTCCTCACAGCAGGTATCGCTGCCTGCCAGGCTCTTGTTCATCCTTGTTCTGCTGCCTGTTCTAGACCTTGTATAACGTCTTCCAAAGATGGCATCAAATATTTGGGTGGTTTCCAATCCAAATGGCCAAGAGCACTAACTTCATAATGTTAGGCAGGAAGGCGAGGCTCTCCTGTTGCTCTTGCGCTTCTTCTCATACTGAAACCTCTCTGAACTCCGTTTTCTTCCCAAATGGGAAGGCTTAGTGATAGCTAGCCTTGGAGTTTGGTGCAGCTCTGATTATGGGAAGGAGCTTTTTGGTGATGGGTGCCATTCAGAACATCTGTAAACTGCACTCGTTCGTAGGTCGTTCATTATTTTTCATTTCATTTAGTCTGCTTTCCTAAGGAAACAAGGCCTTTGAGATTAGGTGATGTATGTGTTTATGTTTGCTAGTAACTCTTGAATCCATGGGCTGATCAAAACCAAATGCAACAGACTGACAAAGTTCTCAGAGACAGTTGAGAGAGTTTGGGGAAAACAAATGACTGGGTATAAGAAAGAGATTCTTTAAATACTCTTGAGTGTCGAGAGGGAAAACAGTCATTTTCCATGGGAAGGGAAAATTGTCCATTAGACAACAGAGAATTCACCTAAGAGGACTTTTAAATGCCCACCTATAGGAGAATTTGTGGTTGAAGTCTTAGATGCTGAAGCTGATCTACCCTAAAATGCAAGACTAGGTAATTGAGTTTCACTTGGTCTGATGCCTCACTTACTGATTCATTGAATGCTTGCCTCTTCAGCTGCCTCAGCTATTGTTTAGGGTAAGCTGGAAGAGCTCAGTCAGAAAACAGTGAGACAAAGGAAAAAGAAAAACATCTCTAACTCTTTCAATTGCAAGTTTCCATCTTAAAAATCTGTCCCTTTGTGTATGTGCACAGATTTGTCGTCTAGAACGTTCTGTGCCTCGAGGGCTGATGAACGCCAAGGGAGATCTTGACTAATTCCTGTTTCCTTTGTTCAGGGATATCATGTCCATTTATAAGGAACCACCCCCGGGAATGTTTGTTGTGCCTGATCCCCATGACATGACCAAGGTAAGGGAAGATTTGGAGCAGATTCAACTTTCTGTTTCTCTGTATTTTGCTGTTGATAGCTGCTTTAAGGGTTCGCCCAAATGGTGCGTTCCCTTAATGTTTTGAGAGGAGTCAGGGTGAATCTTCAAGAGAATAATCAGGCTCCAGTTTTCTGGGTTACAATGAGATGGGCTGCATTTAAAATGGGAGGAGGCTCTCAAGGAAATTGGCTTGGTGGAGAGTTATCATCTCAGGGATCTGAGCAGCTTCCACAAATAAACCCGGCGCTGCTTCGATGGCCCTGTGAACTAACGAAGCACTGCTCTAGCTGGTTTTATCCTCCTGATGCTTGAAAATGATCAACAGAGCAGCTTGAGGAAGAGCCGGCTCTGGAAAGCTGTTGGCTGTGCGATCTTCTCAGAGAGGCTGAAAAAGAGAAACGTCCATCAGCTGCAAGCAGAGCCGCAGTTATCTGTGGAAGCCGGAGACGTTTAATTCTCATGACTTGGTGATGGGATGTGTAACCAGGCCTGCACCCTGTCCTCCCGCAGAGCTGCTGGTTTTCACTTGTACCAGGGTCGTACGCAGGTCTGACCTGCGCAGCCGCTCCCAGCACATCGCCTTGAGCAGATGTACTCCCTAGGGATAGGTAAGGCTGAGGCCTCTCCCGTCCCGGTACTTCCTCTCCTGGCTGCCTGGCTCTAGGTGTTTTCCAGGACTGGGAACTCCCACTTCTGTTTGACATAGTGCAGTGAACTGGCAGACAGAGGCTGCTCAAATGTTCTTGATCCAGTGCGTTTCTTGGCCTATCTGATGCTGCCCTTTCTTCAGCTAGTGTCACCTATTCTGGCTGCCCTGGTTTCTGAGAAAGCAGGGTGTGTGGCGGGGATGCTTTGGCTTCTCCTCTGCTGCATACTTCTACCTTCCTGACAAACTTGGCGTCCTCCAGACTCCACCAGTGTAAACACCTGCCTGGTTCAGGGCCTCTGGGTTTTTGGAGGCAGCACAAAGGGATTGTCTCTGCACAGGCAACTCCCGCATCGAGCATTCAGCTATAGCTCTGGCTTCCCTTCACACTGGAAGCTCAAAGTGCAAAAATGCCCTTCAAGGAAGAGGTGGATTTGTAAAACACCAGCCTTGGGGCTTGTAACTAAAATCCTAGGTAGGTAAGAGGACATTAAAGGAGACCGCTTGGATCGCTTCAGGAGGATGGAAAAGGGAGTAAGCTTCCTTAAGAGCCCTATGGGAGTAGATTTCCTGGTACACAATTGAGATCTTTGAGGGTAATTAGCACGGAGAGAATAGGTTCTTAATTTTGGATCCTGGCAGAGGATATTGAGTGATTGGTTTCAATAAGGCCAAATCAGCACGAGACCATAAAATTGAGGAATGTTCTAGTTCTGGCAGTAATTATGATTTTTTTTTCCCCCTAAAATTAGAATTTTTTTAAATTTGAAATCTTACTTTTTTTTTTTTTTTTTTTGGAAGCAGAGCTTACCAGCTGAACTGTGATTCAGTCTGGTTTGGACTGTGTAGAGATGTATGTATGGGAGGCAGCTGCTGTGGATTCTGGCCAAACCTTGCGTTGGAAGCCTGCTTTGCACATTGAGCATGGCAGAGGGGGAAGAAGTGTGCAGCAGTGGCTCAGGCTAAAGAGGGAAGGAGGGAGGGTAATGTGTGGCCTGCACATGTCCTGTGCTTATGGAAGATGCTGCGTCCATAATGCTGCCTGGGTGGAGATTTCTTGCCTTTGGTTGGCTTTGTTGAGGATTTGATGGTGCTGCACAATTTTGAAGTGGTGCGCAAGATGGGCTTTTGTTTTCCAGATTCATGCATTGATCACAGGCCCATTTGACACGCCTTATGAAGGGGGTTTCTTCTTGTTCCTGTTTCGCTGTCCTCCAGATTATCCCATCCACCCACCAAGGGTCAAACTGATGACAACGGGAAATAACACAGTGAGGTTTAACCCCAACTTCTACCGCAATGGGAAAGTCTGCCTGAGTATTCTAGGGTAAGAGGAGACTTTGGCTTTTTTCAGGGGAAACCAGGAGGTGGCTGCAGGCTGTCTTCTGCCTCACGCGTCCTTCTCAGTACGTTGTGCCCTAATCTTGCCCCAGACATTCGCTTGGATGCACCTTTATGCTTCTGTGAAGTTATGTGCAGAACTGGAGCCTTAAAGCAGCAAAAATTTCTCTCCTCTACTGAAACAGGAGTCTGGCTTGTCTTTAAAAGCACCTGAGAATGGAGCAGGGGAAGCATGAAGTTCAGTGGATGCTGCCACTTTCCTCCTATTTCCCCCTGCAAAGACTTGGCCCAAGCACTGCGTTTCTTCCACTTTTGTGCTTTGCAGCCTGATCCTTAATGTTGTTTGAATATAGGTTTTTGTGGTTTTAATTTCCTCTCTCTGTGTGGGTTTAAAAATAAATAAATAAAATTTAAAGCCGCTAAGAACTTCCTTGAGAGCCATTTGACTGCTCTGGGCTTCCACCTACACGTAGTATGTGGGGCTGAATGGTGGGAGTAATGATTTACAAGCCACTGCTCCCGTGCTGCCTGTTCAAACAGGCTTCGCTGCTGCAAACGCTTGTTATTCACCTGCTTGATTTTTAAGCATGTGAAAGTCCTGGTTGATTCAATGGGCTTAGGGCCCAGCTTAGGGGCTCTGCTAGAGGAACCCTGGCTGTGGTATGGGGTTCCCAGCTCCAGCTGTGATGGGTTCAGTTGCCAATAAAGGAAGGTTTTCGCTGAGTCCCCAGACTGGTGCAGCTGAGGTGTTTGTGTGTGTTCCCTTCTGTTGCAGAGAGGCAGCCAGGTGGGGAAGAGGCAGCGATGGCTTGAATTGCTGTAGGGATTCAGTTAGATAAAAGGAGTCTGGGTCTTGATATGGTTAAAAGACTGCCTTTGCCAGGGTGGTTTCAGCAGTGCTGTGCACATGCCACTTATACCAAAGCTGGTCCAAGTAGCTGACACTCATCTTGTCCAGGATATGGCCCAAGACTGAGTGAAAGGGATGCTGTCTTTTGGGGAACATTTTCTTCCAGCGTTTCAGTCTTCCTGATCCAGTGAGCTGGATGCCAACACCTGCGGAGTACTGAGACGTGGAGGCATGTCCACGTCTTGGGGGTCTGAATACCCAGCAGTTTCCGCACAAGCTGCGTTGTTGCTCATGCACTGTAGCCCTGGCGGGAAAGCTAAATTATTGAAGAGTGACCCAAGGGCCTTGGCCTTAGCAGAAGTGGGAAGCACAGAGGCAGCTGTGAATGAAAGGATTTAGGAAGAGCATGTGTGGGTCAGTACGTTTGTTCAGTTCTGTATCTAGAACTAGGATATTAAGGGCAGGCAGCAGAACAGCTTTTCCTGACTATGCCTAGCTTGTAGCTTGTGTTGTAGCTTGTGTGGTAGCTTGTGTTGCTCCAGGGTGCTGTACAAGATGACAGCCCTAGCTTTAATGTGCCTTGTAAGAAGTTTGGAAGTGTTACTTTTCCCCCGCTCTTCTGTGTGTGAGGCCCTGTATGTTGTTGGCAGTGGAGTAAAGTTCACCAGACTCTTGCCTGGCTCCGGTTAACGTGTGCAGTTGGGTGAAAGAACACACGGGCTGCACCCTTAAAACCTTCTCAATGTCCAGTGCTTTGTATATCTGTAGCATCTGTTTCTTTTCCTGTGGTGTTTCTGTAAGATATAGATGTCTCCTTGTGGTTTCCCAAGCCTTCTGATCTTTTGGCAGTTGGAGGGATGGTAGTCACTGGGCTTGTCCTGTGTTGTTAATTAATACTTTTCTGTTTTGATGCCTCAGCACTTGGACCGGGCCTGCATGGAGCCCAGCACAGAGTATCTCTTCAGTCCTTATCTCCATCCAGTCTTTGATGACTGAGAACCCCTATCATAATGAACCTGGCTTTGAGCAGGTGAGAGTTTGGGATGGATCATTTCTGATTCTGCAGCTATTTGTCTCTTCTCTCCACACTTTGCTTCTGGTGGTAAATCCCATTCTGGAAATGGGGACAAAAGTAAGTTATGTCACTTGGCTCTTCTCCAGCTTCCTCCCCCTCTACTCAGGACTTGAGGGGGAGTTGCAAGCCAGCTCTGAACTGCAGGGTGCTTAGTTCACACCTGCGGAGGGTAACAGAAACCAGAGGCATTCGAGAAGTTGCTGGGGAGATGGGAGTGCTCTTCATTTCTCTGCTATGCAGCTCCTGAAATGGCTTCCTCGTGACATATTGTTCTGTCATGCAGGAACCAAACTGCTCAGGTTTTCCTGGTCTCCAGTGTCCCAAGGAGAGATGAGGAGAGAGGCAGGTTTCTGTGCTGGCTGTATCAGTTGACCTGTCTCCACTGCTGTGTGAATCCAGGGCTCTGGGGACATGTGAAATCTTGCCAGCCTTTCAGTTGCAGCATAAATTAGCTCACCATACACTGAACAGACAAAACCGTAGTGGGTTCATGCACCGGTGAAATTCATCGGGCCCAGGAGGGAGAGACTAAGAGCCATTCCAGTTGCATGGACTAACTGGCCCAAATTCTGTTTCCAGGAGAGGCACCCTGGGGACAGCAAAAACTATAATGAGTGCATTCGGCATGAGACCATCCGAGTAGCAGTGTGCGATATGCTGGAAGGAAAGTGTCCCTGTCCTGAGCCTTTACGGTATGGAAAGGTGGCATGGAGGGAGCGTAAGAAAATGGGTGTGTGTGTGGGGGGGCCAAGATCAACTTCTCTGACTGCCCTTCCTGACATCCTGAGAGTTGCTCCAGGGAAGAGCAAGCCTTTAACTCTACCAGATCCAGCAAAGAGTGATTGTTTGGGGTAGCTGCATTTGTATGGTGCCCAGGAGCCGTTCATTGACAAAGGCGGTGTTAATGTGCACAGTGGCTGCATCCTCTGACTAGCGTGTGAGAATAGATGTGCCTTGTCTTACGGCAAAAAAAAAAAAAATCTTGGGGCAGGAGGGAGACCGCAGCTGTTGTGCAAGCACATGCAGAATCTGTTCAGCTGCAGTGATGCTGTAGCTCATTTTACTGTGTGTCCTGCCTAGCTGTACCCAGTTGTCTGTAACATGCTTTGCGGGCAGTTGATTTGCTCAACTGGAGTTCAGTGGGATGGTTGTGACCCTGGATGAGGTGACTGTTCTTGTAACACTGTCATTCTGCATTGACTGTATGTTCTCTCATTGCCTTCAGGGGAGTAATGGAGAAATCCTTCATGGAATACTACGACTTCTATGAAGGGGTGTGCAAAGAAAGACTTTATCTCCAAGGACAGACGATGCAGGTGGGTGGCAGACAAGCTTCCTATTGATCACACGCTGCCTTAGCAAGGAGCATGTGGTAGGACAGCTTAGTGAGAAACAACTGTGCTGTGATGTGCAGTACCTAAAGGTACTTAGGATGAAGCTGGACCTTTTCTATCAACTGTATGTTCCAACTTTGCTTCAACCTTGAAACTGGGACCCTGAGACGTTCCTGTGGATAAAACACTGCTTTCCCCGAGCTCAGGGTACGCAGGCAGCGCTTTCAAAGCTGTTAGATTTCTCTGAATGCTGGACCTGAGCTACTCTTCAGGAAAGCAGGTACTTCTCTGAGCAGTGAAACCAACATAGTTTGCTTTCATGTGGATTTGGTGTTAAGACGGGAGGGCAACATGTAGGTTGGCCAGTGCTGGTGGGGACTGAGCTCTATTGCAGCATTTTCCTGTCGGGATGCTAGTAAGATTTTTTTTCTTCTGAGATTCCTTTGCTCATACAGCAGATAGGAACTCTCTCTGACTCCTCCTTGTTCTGTCGGATCGGGTTGAAAGCGGCTGACTGAGCCAAAAGTTCCTGGAGGAGGAAGGGGTGAGGGAACAGGGATAACACGGCAGACGCATCTAGACAGCTTGAATGCAGGAGCCTTGTTTCTGTAGGAAAGTACACTTTAAATAATAGATTGCCAAGCTACTTGCATATGAACAGATGCATCTTCCTTTCTCATCAGCCACCTCTTGTCTGACTCATTGAGAAATTTCACTATTAAGAAAAGATGGAGGTGGTTGATTTAACGATCTAGAGTCTACATAAGCCCTTTTTTCCTGTCAGAGCTGTCACTGGCTGTGTAATTCATAAAATGAGAGCATTCCTGAAGCAGGAGAGCTCTTGTTTGGGATGAGAAATTCCCCCACGGCAGATCTGTGCCTGACTTGTATCGACAGAGAGTACTGGACTGTATAGTAAAGTTTGACGTCAGAGGGTTGTCAGGCGTGGCCCGCTCTTGTTTCTGCTGCAAGGAGCCAAGGCTTAGTTGCTTTCACCATGGGTTTGTGAAGGACACCGTGGACTGGGACTGCGTTGTACTTGGTTCCCAGAGGTAGGGACTGCCATGTTCTGTTTTCTGCTCGCTTGTAAATGGTAGGTAGCATAGGAAGGTATCAACACAACGTGCTGGAGAGATGCCATTGTTGTCTCCACAGCCCTCTATTTAAAATGAAGCCACTCCAGGGTCAGTATCAGTTGAGCGCTTGCCTTATCTGCTGTCTTGTTAACTCTAGAGCCACACGTTGGCTTGTACTAAAGGTCAACATCGGACGGGACGGTGTAAACTCCCACCATCTTATGTAGCTCTGGCAATGTGTCTTCGACTTGGAATTGGGATGAAAGGAGCAAGTGTTAAGTCTCCAAAGGTGTCTTGCCTTTCACCCAGCTACATCTCAGCTGGGGGACTTGATTTGCAGTAAGAAAAGTGTTACTTTCATTTGGAAGAGGTCTGTAGCACTAATATAAAGTGTGATCAAATCTTTGGCCCCTGGTTATAGAGGCTTTCATTTGTAATACGTTTTCTTTCCCTCCTTGGTATGGGCCTGAGACCAAATCTTTGAAGTAGCTTACTTCCTCAAAGCTGCTAGCAGAAATGCAACCCGTGTCTGCCTGGCCTTTCTTCCGTCTCTGAAGTTTGCTTGGGTTTGTAAGGCTTCCCGAAAGAGACTCTAAACAGAACAAAATCTTCAGCCTTCAACCTCTGCCTTGACACTGAAAAGTTCAGGGGCCTCTTGGTCACAAGCTAGGATTTAACCCTGAAGTCTTTGACCGTTCTTTGCCCAATTACTGTGCAGCTTTCTTCTTTCTGCCTCTTGGCCTGGTAAATATTCCACACGCTGAGCCTAGTTTGATGTGATGCTTCACTGTAGAAGGATAATGGTCTCTATTAATATAGATTTGTCCACGCTTTCCTTCCAGGATCCTTTTGGTGAGAAACGAGGCCACTTTGACTATCAGTCCCTATTAATCCGTTTGCAAGGAATTCGGCAGAAGGTGCAGGAGAAACACCAGCAGGAGAATACAGAAATAGACTCTGAGAGCAGCTCCTCTGAGACAGAGACAGACACTCAAGGTTGTTCCAAAGCTTAGAGCTGCATAAGGAGTGGAGAGGCCAAGCCGTGGGGATGTTCTGTCTTCACACTCTAGAGTACCCCTGACAGACTCGACAACCAAACCAGTGCCAGAGCGGAGAAAACTGCGGGACGTCTTCTGTCTCCTTTTACTGCTCTGGTGGATAATACTGAACGAGAAGACTTCATGCTAGACAAAGCCAAGCTTGTGACAGGCTACTATTAAAAGGTACTTACTATGCTAGAAAGCTGGAGCATGTGGCATCAGGTTATTTTTTGGAAACACCTACACTGGGTTTTTTTTTTTTTCCTTCCATTTGATTAAAGAATGAGATCTAGACCATGACTCCTCTTTACAGCTTTTCTGTTCCTAGACAGTGAGCCCATCCCTGGGGCCACGCTGAACATGGAGCTGTAGCTGTGGGAGTGCTCTGATGAGTCCAGGGTATGACAGGGCCCATGCACTGTGTGCCCGGGTGAAGCCTGTTTGTGTGGGTTGGGAGGGATGGAGCCTCTCTGCTCCGTGGGAGCCCAGCTACCTGGTGTCTTTCTTCTAGACACTGTTCTAGACAGACCAAAGATAAAGAGCAGTGGTGGAATCTGGGCTCCCTTCTGAAAGCTTTATTCAAGCCCTGGGTGACTTCGTCCACTGGGACTTCAGGCACAAAGGGGAGAATGAAAAGTGGAAACTGCAAGAATTCATAAATCGAGTGCAGGTGTGTTCACCCTGGCATTTTGAGGGAGGGAGGGTGAGAAAATCATTGGTTCAGAGATGGGGGAAGCACTTAAAAATAAGTCTAGTTTGTGTATTTTTTTAAGGTGTTGATTTGAAATTAGTGTTCTAGAAATGTTTATTTGGTTGCTCTGAATGGAGCTGTTTTGTTTCCTCATCTGAAGTACTCTTTGCTTTCCACCCCTCTAGTCAGTGTAATATTTCATTTTTCTCCTCTCTTCCTCCTGCCCCCTCACTCCCAACTGTTACTTTGATCCCTCAGATTTGAAATGCTAGTATAAGGAGCATTTCTAGCTAAGGAAGCCACCGTTTCTGGGTGGAGTTCTTCAGAGGTGCATGCCTCGTTATTGACTGAAAATTCCTTTGCCAAACTTGGCCGAGCGCAAGCTAGCTGAGTGTCGTAAAGCACTTCAGCGCTTTGAATGTTTGTTTTAAACAGCAGCTTTTTACTGTGAGCGAAGGCAAACCTCTTGGAGAGGTGTCTGCAGGCTGCGAGTGCCATTACATCAGAGATGTATTCCGTGTAACTTAGGTGGAGGTGAAATACCCAGTTTCTCCAGGCAAGTGAGCCTGGTGATGATTGATTGGAGCAGTAAAATGTTTTGTTGATGAAGAGCTTAATCTACTTTTGTTTTTTACAGGAGCTTTGATAGAAAGCTAAGCACAGAGTTGCACATTGTCTCAGGCCCTCTCCCACCTCCCTTAAACACCTTCTACCAGCTCAGCCCTGTTTCAGACTCCTAGGGTGGTGAGGGAACTCCCAACCCAGTCCTCTGTTAAGAAAGTGCATAGAGAGGGGCCAAAAGACCCCTGCAGTGTGATGTACAGAAAAGCAATGTCCCATGTGTCACTGAATTATCTGGAGTCTCTGTGATTTGAGCATCAACTATTGCAGAAGCCTGCACACTGCTGTCTAAGCAGCTCTGAAAAACCAAAAGGTGGAAACATTTCTGAATTAGAAAGGCGCCATCTAACAACTCGGGAATCTTTTTCCCTTTAGCAAGCAAACTCCCCTGGGTCTGTCATTGGTATGATTTAGACTTAAACCCTGTCTTCCCTTGAGGGAAAGCTAAACTTACATAGGACTCACTCAACACATAAACCAGATGAGAGTAAATAAAGCTGTGTTCACCTTGAAATAAGGTCTCAGGGAGGCAGCAGGGTCTCCTGAGAAGTCATGAGCTGTGTGCTACTTTAACGCCTCTTTAATCCCATTGTAAATGTCACGTTGTTTTTCACCATTCAGTAGCATTGTGGGTAGAGCTGTGACTCTGCTGCCTTCCCAAGGCAGAGCTGGTTCTGAAATCTGTTTGTGATGCATGTGGCGTTACCATCCACTGATACAATGAAACAAGAAAATGCCTTATTGTGGACACTATTCACATAACTAGCATGTGGCTGTAAAAGAGAAGTATTAGTTTTATAGTTCTAATGTTGTCTGTCCTACCATTTCTGAATGTTTCCATTTCAAAGTGACAATCCTCAAATGACTGCTCTAGGCAGAGATGTTTTAGCAACAGATTTTTAGACCTAATTGAGTTGAAAATATATGCACAAGAGTCACTCTAAGATACCTTGTTTATATACTATTGTACATAAGATTTTTTTGTGCAATAAAGTTTGTTTTGGCAGAATCTAGACTGTGGTGGTACTTAGTGGAACAACGGCTCGTTCACAGAGCAAAGAGGACTACAGAATAGTTCCTCAGCTGCTTTAGAAGTGTCACTGCTTGCTCTGAGATTCTCTAGACACAGTCACGTTTGCATCCTTCAAGACTGCAGTTGAAATAGCAGCCTAGATAATTTTCCTCTTGCTGTGACAAGGTAATTAGTGTCTGTAATCATAGGTGGTATTTCTACCCACAACACAGGAACAAATTCAAAGGTAAGCAAATATGAATTAGTCCTATTAAATTCTTCAAGCTAGACACTTTTTAGAAAACTTTATTTAAAGTCCACTGTCCCTGTGTTTCAGGTGATATGCAAATAACCTCACAAGAAGAATTATATACAGGCACAGAATACTTAGCAGTCAAGGTATTGCCTCCTTGGCTTCCTCTGGAGTGATTTCCTGAGAGTACAGCTCTGTAAAGAGAGCAGGCAGCCAGTACTGAGGTTCTCCTGCTGCCTGTGTATCCAGCCAGGCCATTCCTTCCTTCAGCAAGTGTTCCTGTACAGAGTGGAAACTGTGAGTGAAACTTAATGAAATGGCTGAAAAGCCATTCGTATTAGAGGCCTGATCTCACATTTATCCTAGGGGAAGGAAATGTTGTAGAACTTGCACAACAATTGTTTTTGCTCATCTTGAGCTTAGGGAATATAATTCAGGCACCCAGTCGCACCCAATCACACCCACCCTGCTACAGCAGTATGTTTATGCAGGACCTGAGCTAACAAGATTCAAGCTTTTGGGTTAATCAGTGAAGCTACAGGAGGGCCATCTGCAGCTGCTGAGCCTGTACCCAAGAACCTATGTTGCGGCGGCATGTACACTGCCTTTGGTCTACCAGCTTAGCTTAGGACCATCTACATTTGCTGTGATCACGCATCCCCGCCAGGTCTGCAGCAGGGCTGCAGGAGCAGCCACTCTGCGCTGTCATTTAACCCCACAGTGCGTAAGAAACCTTCGTACATACCAGCACCTGCTTTGCTCGTTCTGTCTCCCACTTTAGACTGGATCTGATCTCACTGACTGTTACGTATCCCTTTTTCTGAAACAAGAGGAAAAAAGTCTTGACTATGAGTATACAGTATAAGGCCATAGTTTAGGAAAGTGTGAACAGTTGTGCCTACAGGCTTGACCTACTCTCAGCTCAAGTTTTAGATTGTGTTCATGCTGGAATTTGCATTTTCTACACCATGTGTTTCCTGCCATGAAAGCAATAAGGTTCTTTTAAAGTGGCTGTATTTTAAAATTGCCTGACTCAATACCTCTGCCAGCTGCAAGACGACTGTGTGATCCATGTTCAGTTCAGCTGGTACAGACTGGATCAGATATGTTCCACCAACAGGAATAATCCCAAAGCCATTCCCCAAGACCTTCAGCTTCTTGATTGCTCGAAGGAGATCATCCCTGAGAAGCAGAGGTCAATGCAAGGCTTTAAAGCAAGAACCTCTCTTGAAGTGCACGCTACATTCTGTAAATAAGGAAGATTTGAATTGCAGAAGCTAGGAGCAATAGCTCCTTGGAGCTTACTGCAACTAAGTAATGAAAACTGAAGAAGTGTTTTATAAAGCAATTTAGAATTAGTCTGGATGTCTATGCCCCTCTTCAGAAGTGTAGATCATGGTGAGCTGTTTCCAAATCTAATTCTGTACTGATGCTTATCAGTCCCCTCTGGATTCCTTACAGCTCAGGAGGCCACAACAGCTTCAGCAGACTCTTGACAGCAAGAGAGCTGGATTTGTAGGGAACTAATTCTCTCCAGCTCACTGCAACAGTCCTTAACACCTAACAGCTTGCAGAGAAAGTGCACTTCTGCTTTCTGAACTGAAATGGTTAACAGCATCAGAATAGCACACTTGTAAGTCAGTAATTGTGCATCACGTGCAAGTGGCTCCTTTGTTAGGAATCAAATTTGGAATCCAATTAACAGCAGCATTTTCAAGTGCTACTGAGATCAGTCATCCCTCTTTTCTTCCCTGAATGCTACTTGACTCCCCTTTCCTGTAACACACAGATACTCACTGGCTGACATCCTGAGCAAACTTCCCCCTTCCCTTCAGCACTTGCTGATGAAGTTCTTCCAGTGTTATCAGACCTAAGAGTCAACAAAAGGGCACAGGAAAGCATTACTACATAGCCAAAAAAAGAGTAGTCAAGGCTCCTTTTGTATTTGCCACTGGCTCACCTCTGCCTTAACATTTTATAAGTGACTGTTCATTGTTCCCAGTTTCAAGGCTTGGGTAAGATAAGCATCTTGTCATTTCTGTTTCTAGAGCTAACATACAGCAGTCAGCTGTTGCCTTCCCCCACAAATGTATCACACAAGTTTCAGCTGGTTTTGATGTAGCCTATTCCTGGTCTCAGATTGTCTTTCTGGAGTAAAGAGCGTCCACTGTCTTCATCAGGCACTTGCTACTATTGTGATTCTTCAGAATGTTGCTGTGATCCTTTAAAAATGATGTCAGGCTCAAAGCAGTGACTTATACTTGACTCCGTCAAGATTGTCATTTATCACTACTGTTTCCCCAAGGTAATGGGAATTGCAGTTCCATTACTTCAATAGGGCAGAGTTGCTTGATTTCCTCAGAAACCGATCAATCTGGGTAACTACCAGTGGCACAGCTTTAACGTGCTACAAAAACAAGAAGGCTTTTGGGGGGCAATGAAGACAAAACTGTCATCTCAGCATTTTCTGAATCTAGTGAAGAACACAGCGCTGAGCGGGGCGACTCATTTTCCAGAGGGAAAAGGTATTCTCCATTCTCTGCAACTCCTAGAAGCCACAGTGGGATCCTTACCTCCGTTCCTGTGTTTCAGAGCCAGACAGACTTCAATAATCTGCACGCCCAATTCATAGTAAAAGTCTCCAACTCCCAGCATCTCTGACCAGAATCCTTTACCAGCTGTAAAGCGAGAAAGGGGAAAGCGATTAGACCATTGTCAAAAATATCCTTCCCAAACTGGTGCTGAGCAGCCTGCTTCTCCTTGCAGAGTTGCAGGCTCTGTAACCTTGTGAAGCAAAAGGGCAGAAGAGGTTAAGGGATCTTTGACTATGTGAGACTTACACACAGAACCAGAAGTCTGGCCCAGAGGACAGTGATTTTTCTCCTAAGGAAAGGGAAGACCTGTGAGCACTGTCAGATTTGTCACTTAATTGTCTCCATTTTGGGAATCTCCACCTCTTTTTTTCCTCTTTGAAATAAATAGCACCTGAAGGTACTTGCTTCTTTTCCTCAACCATTACAGCAGTTCACAAACCCAAAGAATCAAAATACTGTCAGCTTTCCTCAAGGACAACTTATATCAGATTCCCCAAGAAATGTTTACTGTATGACAACAGTGAGAGGAACCCTTAGCTCATTAAACCCCTGGTGCCCATTCCTCACATGCCAAAGGATCCACTCCTATTGTTGCACACATATCCTGGAACTGGACCCGAAACTGGGGATTTTTACGGATCTCTTGCTTGTGTTTGCTGGCAAACTCCTCTAAGTTGGTCTTAAACATGTCCAGCTGCTTAGACATCTGAAAGAGACAATTGCACAGAAGAAGTATTTCTGTCTTAACACTAATTTAATGCATATTTTTGATAAACGTATCTTGTATGTACCCTCCCTGCCCAGAAACTAAGAAAGTACAGTCCTCAAGTAACACTAGGGTCTCTGACACGCTGTCTACTGAGCACAGATTGCCCCACTGGTCTTAAAGGAAGGAAAAAAGATAAAGTTGCTTGATGAAATCAGAATTCTCCATTTTACCACTGAAGAAACATCCACATTGCACATTCACACAGTGCAAAGTGCATATTTTAACACTGAATACAAACCACTGTCAGGCCACAGTGGAGATGAGGCAAGGCAAAGGGCTACTGTGAACCAAGCGACAGGCTTAGAAGGGAGGCGGCAGTTATTTTGTGACGCGCGTGGGGTAGAAACTGCTCTACGCAAAACAGACGCTGCTGAGGGTCCTGAGAAAGGAGGCGGAGAAAGAGCTGTCTCCAACATTACAGCTCTCTGACAGAAGAGCAAGCTAATGGGTGCCTTCACTATCCACGCTGCTCGTTACATCCGGACACCGAGGCGGAGAGAGAAACGGACCCAATTTCGGGGCTGGGCGCGCCATCGCGGTTATCCCCACTGCCGGGGTGGGGGCAGATCTCCCACCTGGGCCAGCTGGTCTTCGGCCAGCACCGTCCCTCGCTCCTTGTACTTGGCCTGCGGGAGGAAAGCGGGATGATGATGGCGGTGCTGAGGGACGGAGGATCCGGGGGACCCGCGGCGAGCGGGGG